GTTTAGAGGGAACTCAAGGTCCCAAGGAAAGGCTTATATGAGAGGGGCAGAACTTAAAGTCTAAGAGTAAGTGCAAGTGCAGGGGAGTGGAAATGATAAGCTGGTGGTCATGCCAAGCAATTTGAAGTGCTGGCACACCCCTGACCAATTTGTCATTTTTAAATTGAGGAGTTATGACTTATTGAAAGCCAGGTTCAGGCGTGGATAGCCATTTAAAGGCTACCAGACCATAAACTTTAACTCATCATACATAGGGGGTGATGATAGGGAATACATAACAGAAACAGTAAACAAAGGAAGAGAGGGCAAAGGGCATGATCAACAATGAAACATACTGACACACTCTTTACTTGGGGTCAAAATTTAGTTCATGGACAACAATTCATGTTGCCATGCCCTGAATCCCCATTTATAAACACATAGAGGGTAAGGGAGTAGGGATCAAGCATTTGTAGGAAAGTAAAGCGAACAGTAGCATATGAACATGTCAAACTCTGCAGGTAATAGGCATAGATATAAAGACTATAAGTAAACACATTAGGATGATTGTTGGGAACTGAGTTAAGACATACCAGTAAAAGAGCAAGAGTAGGATGCCTAGATAAAGCAGTAATAGTATATTAGCCTTGGCTTTTAGCCGGCTAATAATAAGAAGGAGCAGAGAACAGCAGTAGAGCAAAAGAGCAAAAGGGAATGCAGATTTTGAAAGTATTCAGTGGTGTGTGTAAGTCAGAAGACTGTTGTGTGTCTTTTTGTAAAGACTTAGGGTATTTTTAGCCAAAAGTAGGGGGTAAAATAAGGTAAAAATCATGGAAATATGTTAATTAAAGAACTCAGAATCAATTAATCAAAGAATCAAGGAAGTACACCCATTAATTAAGGGAATCAAAATCAAACGAAAAGATTCAGCACCATATAAGGAAACAATAACAACCCAGTATAATCCCACTTAGTGGGGTCTGGGGAGGGTAGTGTGTACGCAGACCTTACCCCTATCCTAGGGTAGAGAGACTGTTTCCAAATAGACCCCCAGCACCATATAAGGCAAATAGGATAAATCAGCGTAGGATTAAATAAGGAAAGAATCAAGGTTCAGTATTGCATATAGTAGTCGAGTAAGACCAAATTCAGGAAAATTCCAATTGAGGAAAGGCTTAAAAGAACAGAGTACTATAACAAATGAGGTAACAAAACCAATTAATTCAAACGGGCGGGTAGAATGTTAGGTTTTTTTTTAGAAAGTTTTTGAATTACCAATCAATCAAGGAAAATCAGAATCAATCATGTGAAGTCATGATTCTGCATTTTTAACATATAAATAGAGGTAAATGAACAAAAGTAGCGAGCAAAGTTAACTAGGAAGGAACAAGGGATGAACAAACATAACCACTCAGAGATAGTGAAAACAAGTTAAGATTCAGCAAGACATATTCGAAGCATGGTGACTATGAAACATCAACAAGAATCAAGCAAATAGGCCAGCAGGCAGAACCAAAGCAAGGAAAATCAGGCTAATACACACAATCAAACGAGGAAACATGCTAACACATAGAGACAAGACAAAGGAAATTAGGCTAACACAGGTAATCGAAGCAAAGAAACATGCTAACACACATAATCGAATGAAGAAACATTTTCTAGAAATTAGGGTTTTTAGCAGAGTCAAACTAAAAAACAGTAAGAGCATAGAAATCGGTCAGAATAAACAAAGAAAAGGTTTTAATCATAAAGAAAATCAATCTAAGCATGCATAAAACGAAATCCCAGAAATCCTAATTTCGAAGAAAGTAAAAAAATGGTTCAAAGCAAAGGATCTTTCAGAATAAACTCGAGAATAAACAGAGCACAGAGGAAAACATGAGAATAGCATGAAATGACACCGTTTTTGAGAGATTCAGGAGAGAGTTAGGGTTT